AGGGCAGCTGGCCAAAGGGAGCCCTAGAGGAGCTGCGATCTGGGGGAGAAGCCCTGGGCTCCTGGCTACTGAGGCACCCAAGGGAGAGGAGTCACCCAGAATCTCCCTAGGGGCACATAGGAACAAATAAATCCAATGCCCGGCCCGCCCGCCCACCTCAAGGAAGGTGCTGCCCCTACAGGAGGCGCCACGCGGCCCAGGCTCCGCATTACCAGCAGGGGCGCTCTGTCCCCGCGCTCCAGTCCCGGCGTGGGGAAGGCTGTGAGTGGCGGGGCCTGGGGAGGTGGCTCAGCCCCGAGAAGTCCTTCCCTTGTTTGTGCAGTGAAAGTGGTTTAAACCTATGACTACTGATTCCCACGTGGAATCGGAATAGGGCAGGTAAGGATTTTTGCTTTTCGTTTTAAGCTCTGCTATTTAAATACTAAACATATTGCTTGACAAATTTGTGAGGTCGTATTAATGTGGAGTGCACTATTCTGTATCTGACTTGGCCTGCGTTCTCGGGACAGCAGAGCCTGTGAGGAGTTGACTTAGGAGGTGACAGTAGCAAGTGTAAAACAGGAGCTGGAGGCCCCCATACACTCTGGGGGACCTGATGAACTGTGTCTCAGAATGCCCTCCGGGGTGGAAGAGGAGGAATTTAGCCACTTTCCACTCCAGCACCGGTCGGAAGGCATATTGTGTCCAGTGGCACCTGGGCAAAGTCTGCCCAGTTTGGTCTCCCAGGGCCGTTGGAAATGAGAACAGGTGCACTGACCTCCCAACTCCCCCGGGAAAGGGACCTAAAGGAACCAGGGGACCTAAGGAAACCGTTCGCCATTGAGGCAGAGCTCCTCCCTTCGGGCTGTGGGTCTGCGAGGGATTCAGGGAAGTGGGATGGATCGGCTAGAGGGCGAGGGCACCTGCAACTTGGATGCATGTTGTCAAATTTTCATAAACAGCAGGTTGTACCATTTAAATATATATATGTGTATATATATATATACACACACACACACATATATACATATATAAACAATGTTACAAAAGCCATGGCAATTTTTGTGCAATGGGTATGCAAATGAATATATTATGGCCTTATGCAGATTTTATTTGTCTTTGTCAATCAAGGGTTTGTATGACATTTTTGTGGATAATATAATCTTGAGAAATAGCTTTAAATTCATTGATGTCTAAGAGATTTGAGGACTAGAGGCCATTATGAGACCTTTTAGATGTGGTTATAGTTTGTGCTTCTCCTAAAAGGGAACTACTGATCATTACCATGAAGTGTGGAAAGAAATCCATCATAGCTATGATGCTGCCCAATAAAATTTATTCTTCAAAGAATTGAATGGCAATCCCCTGCCATAGCAAGAGAATATTTAAAGACATGCACTTATGCAAAATCATTGGGAAACTATTTCATGCCCTCCAAGGTTTGTGTTCAACTATTATGTCAGAAAGATTTGTGAAGGAGCCGTAAAAAGATAACATGTGGCAGTGCCCTGACGTAGCCACTGAAAGGAAGCAAGCTCTAGAAGGTTCTCTCTGTGGTTTCTGACTAGTCTAATTCAGTCATCGTACAAAAGCTATCTTTTAAAAAATTAGTTTTTATTAACAATTTATCAATGGTAACTCATTTATTTATATATGTATTTATTTGTGATGATTCTGAAGATCATTTGTTAAATCATAAGTAATATATTTCTATGGTATAGTTGCCCACCAATTTAATGGTTTTGGTTAAAAATGTAATATATGATATTAGAATATTTGGAATGTACTGGAAAAAGGTAAATATTATTTTTAAAATATCCAAATCCTGTGGATAGCCACGATTGCTATTTTGGTGTGTGTCTGTATAATTCAGATGCATTAAAGCTTGCCCATACTCCTGCTATAAATTGTGAGAAAAGTAAGGCTGCCCTCTTCTATAGAACATAGAAATAAATTTTAGGACACTAAGACAAAGAGTTTCACATGCCTTTTATTCCATGTCAAGTGCAATGCTCAATCTCAACTCAAAAATAACCTGACTGTAGTTACCGTGATGGCTGAAGGGCCAGCTGCGGCAAGGGCCAGCAGGTGCGCTGAAGACTATGCTTCTAGAAGGACAAGTGTTTCGAGGACTTGCGTCTATGGCTTTTCTTTCAACAGAATCAGAAAAGAGTGACAAGGGACTGCCACCGAATTCAAGAAACAAAATCCACCAAAAATATGGTGGAGCCAAAAGAGAGGGGCAACATACTAACCACTTCAACAGCAGTTGAATTGTCTAAAAACTTAACTTCACCCAGTTCTTACTCATCAGTTGTGAATCTAGATGGGACAGTAGCTAGTCCTAACCCTGGTGACAACGTGCTATTCACAGATGAAGGGGTTGCAAAGTTTTTGTCAAGAAAGACTTTGGTAAGCGGCCCGCATCGCTGCGCCCGAGCTCTGCATCAGTCACCCCCCTGCACGGGGAGAGCTCGCACGGCAGGCAAATGTGCAGCAAGAAAAATGGTATAAAAATGAAAAAAAAAAATCAGCATGTGGCAAGATAAGGGCTGCTGTTATAATTGCTTGAGATCAGGACTTTACATTGGAAAGAAATGTAGATGTCAATTTTAATTTTTAGTTCTAATAAGCATATTTTTTGGGGAACTGGAAATTTCCAAAAAAGATTCCATATATAAGTGAAATCATACAGTATTTGTCTTTTACTGACTTATTTCTCTGAGCATAATACCCTCTACGTCCGTTGATACTGTTGCAAAATGGAGTCCTCTGAAGAAAAATGTGCTGCTTAAATAAATCCCAACTTCTCCTTTATACTAAGAACTCTTAAGGATGCTAGCAGAGAAGAAGCAAATGAAACTGAAAGCTCACCTGCAGCTCAGAAAAATAAAGACATGGAGTTTTGAGAAGTGAAGGTAGCATGGTGTTAGCCATGGGTGATCAAGACAGCCAGATAATGTGGATCAGTTTCTATAAACTACGGCTTTTCTGCTGTCTGCTTGCAGTGTTGACAGTGGTGGTGCTGGTCATCAATGTTACTCAGGTAGAGTTCCAGGAGATTTGCTGACTTTCAGCCATAGAACTAGGATGATGTAGAACCAGGATGATGAA